CCTGTAATCCTAGCACATTTGGGGGCTAAGGTGGGAGGATCACTGGAGCTCAAGAGTTCAAGATCAGCCTGAGCAACATAGCCAGACCAAAAAAAAAAAAAAGAAAAAAAAGAAATAAAAAAAATTCCTATTATGAGTTGAATTATATTCCCCAAATTTCATATGTAGGTGTTCTAACCCCTACACCTCAGAATGTGACCTGATTTAGAGACAGAATCTTTACAGAGGTAATCCAGTTAAAGTGAGGTCGTTAGGATGGGCTGCCTAAGCCTCCCAGGTTTGGGTCGTTACAGCAGCTCTAAGCAGACAAACACAAATCCTGAGGTAGCCACACAGCCATGTTTCCACTGTGTGCAATAACTTTCCTGAGAAGGTGTCTCCATCTTATCAGAAAAACAATGTTTAAACTCTCCCTCACAGGTTACCGAGAGGTTTATTGTTTTTGATTTTGTTTTTTTGAAACAGTCTTGCTCTGTTGCAGAGGTTAGAGTGCAATGGCACAGTCATGGCTCACTGCAGCCTCAATCTTTTGGGCTCAAGCAATCCTCCCACTTTAGCATCCCTAGTAGCTGGGACCACAGGCGTGTGCCACCATACCCAGCTAAGTTTTTTATTTTTGTAGAGCGGGGTCTCACTGTTGCCCAGTCTGGTCTTGAACTCCTGAGCTCAAGCGGCCCTCTCTCCTCAGCCCCCCAAAATGCTGGGATTACAGGCGTGAGCCACCGTGCCCGGTCTTATTGAGAGGTTTAAATGGGCAAAGTAAGTGAAAGCATCTTGCACAGAGATAGGAAGATAGTAGGTACTCAGTGTTTGTTAAATCTGTCTTTCCTGCCTAAACAAAGAAACTTTTTCAGTTTAGCCCACTGTGGTCAGTTCGGTAGCCTGAGGATGCAGGCTAGTGCAACCGGATCCCCTCTAGGGCTCCCAAAAATGCTGGAACAGGCTTTGCCCGCTCTGGAAAATGGAAAGGGAAAGGCAGCCCTCTTTCCCTCTCCACGCTGTGCATTGGTTTAGGGCGCCCCAAACGCTTTTCATTCAGCCTTGTCTTTGAAGCAACTTTTGAAGTCGGCCACTAGAGGGCGGACTGTCTCCATAATCCGCAGCGGCGCTCAGCCACGCAGTCGGAAAAAACGCGGGAAAAAACGCGGAGGGCAGCTCTGGCTGCGGTAAGTGCTCTTGCCCCCGTTAGCCTCCACCCTTTTTGCAGCGGTTTCCAGGCAGTAACCCCGGGCAGGCCAGGTCCCCTTCGTGCTGGCGCGGCCCTGAGCGTGCCCTGACGCCCAGTGTGCTACTTCACTTACTCTGAACAGATCTATTTTTCCTCCCAAGTGGGTAAAGTAAGGCTCAGAGACATTAAGCAACCGGCTGAGGGTCACACAGCTATGAGAATTAAATCCAGGCAGTGACAGATGTCTGCCTGACTCCAAAACCAGCAAAACAGTTGTGGTCAAAAGAAGCCCCGATGCCCAGCCCTTCACAAGAGGGCGAGTGACTTGCAGACCCACTCAGGCCCAGCAGGAGAACCCAGAAGCAAGGAGTCAGGACAGCCTCTGCTACCCTCCCTTCTCTCCCCGGAACCCTGCTGCCGCTGCCTCAACCCTGAACCACTGCTTGCCTCTGCTGGTCATCTTCTTCACTGCCCTAAGCTAGTCTGAAAATGAAGATGTTAAAGTAATTCCTTTTGTTTTTCTTTTCTCCCACTTTGTATCCTGAGGATGGTTGATTTTTGCAGCCACTCCAAAAGAGTACTTAGGATGGTTTAGAAGCGGGTTTTAGTTGCTTACTGCCTGACTCCTTGAAGGAGTCAGGACCCATTAAAAAAAAAAACAGCGGTAACTACATGTACTCAACTGCTGATGTCTACACTGCGAGGCAGTGGCAGAGGTGTTCCTATAAGACGTAGTGTTTCATGCCAGAAAAACTAACCCATTTGATGTTCTATGTCACTGAATTTGTATTTGAAGGCAGTCCAGGGGATATTCTCCAACTTCTTCCAGCAATTGCTCCTTCTTCCCTCCCTCCATCCCTCTTATGCAAGGCTCTGTGCCGTGGCTGTGGAGAGAGGGTCCCAGCCACATGTCTTCCACAGGACAATTGTGACCCAGCACAGTGATGCTCACTCTCAGAACTGGTACCAAGAGCATGATCAGAAAACGCTTTTTTTTTTTTTTTTTTTAGACAGTCTCACTGTCACCCCAGGCTGGAGTGCAGTAGCACCATCTCAGCTCACTGCAATCTCCACCTCTCAGGTTCAAGCAATTCTCTTGCCTCAGCCTCCCAAGTAGCTGGGATTACAGGTGCCCACCACCAGACCTGGCTAATTTTTTGTATTTTTAGTAGAGATGGGGTTTCACCGTGTTGGCCAGGCTGGTCTTGAACTCTTGACCTCAAGTGATCTACCCACCTTGGCCTCCCAAAGTGCTGGGATTACAGGTGTGAGCCACCACACCTGGCCAGAAAGCATTCTTTATTTTTATTATTTATGTATGTATTTAGAGATGGGGTTTAGCTCTGAGACCCAGGCCGGAGTACAGGGGCATGATCGTAGCTCACTGCAGCCTCAAACTCTTGGGCTCAAGTGATCCCCCCACCTCAGCCTCCCAAGTACCTAGGGCTACAGGTGTGGGCCTTCACGCCTGGCTAATCTTTTTTATTTTTGTAGAGATGGGGTCTTGCCATATTGCCTGGGCTGGTCTTGAACTCCTGTGCTCAAGCAATTCTCCCCTTGGCTTCCCAAAACACTGGGAATTAAAGGTGTGAGCCACTGCACCCTGCCAGAAAAGTCTTTCCTGAAGGCCATGCTCATGCAGTAGATGCCAATTCTTCCTGGAGTGTGTGTTGTTTGGGCGTGGCAATTCTTTTTAAGAGTATTAAAGTGATTAACACGTGGGGAGTCTGGGATTCTATTGCGCTGAACAATCCTGGCCCTGGGGACAAGGCCCTTGGCTTCTGTGTATATGAGATAAAGAACTGGGCTCCTTCCTGGCTCGGGTGATCTCTCATGTCACATGCTGGTGTCATCAGCTACCACAGCCTTGAAATTCCTCTAATGGCTCTCCTGCCTGCACCAAAGTTCATAAGGCATAATGCTGTTCATGTGCAAAATGAATGTATTAAGACCCCTGGAAAAGAGACCCCAAGGCTGTGGCAGCCTCCTTCCTCTCCTTTCTGTGGATTTGTTCTTTTGTTTTGTTTGGTTGGGTTGAGACCAAGTCTCACTCTGTCACTCAGGCTGGAGTGCAGTGGCACAATCTCGGCTCGTTGCAACCTCCACCTTCTGGGTTCAAGCAGTTCTCCTGCTTCAGCCTCCGAGTAGCTGGGATTACAGTCACCCGCAACCACACTTGGCTAATATTTGTAATTTTAGTAGAGATAGAGTTTCACCATGTTGGCCAGGCTGGTCTCGAACTCCTGACCTCAGGTGATCCACTCACCTTGGCTTCCCAGAGTGCTGGGATTAGAGATGTGAGCCACTGCACCCAGCCCCTCTGTCCATTTGTTCTATAGGTTAGAGGACGCAAGGAACCCAACTGCCTCTGGAGCCCTCCCTTGGCCCTTAGTTCTTCCATCTCTGCTGAAAGATTTTACCACCAAATATCTAAGCAAATAGTATTGGGTGCTGTGGAAGGGTGAGACATGAGAGAGCTGCTTGTGAATAAAAGTCCTGGCTGCTGGGCGCACTGGCTCACACCTGTGACCCCCAGTGCTTTGGGAAGCTGAGGCGGGCGGATCATGAGGTCAGGAGATTGAGACTATCCTGGCCAACATGATGAATCTCCATTTTTACTGCAAATGCAAAAATTAGTCGGGCATGGTGGCTCGCGCCTGTAGTCCCAGCTACTCAGGAGGCTGAAGCAGGAGAATCATTTGAACCTGGGAGGCAGAGGTTGCAGTGAGCCGAGATTATTCCACTCCCCTCCAGCCTGGCAACAGAGCAAGACTGTATCTCAAAAAAAAAAAGTCCTGGCCGGGCACAGTGGCTCACTCCTGTAATTCCAGCACTTTGGGAGGCCGAGGCAGGTGGATCACGAGGTCAGGAGATCAAGACCATCCGGCATACCCAGGGGCTGATTCCTCTAGATTGCAGGCTCCGTGCTCTTTCCACCATGCCCTCAGTTACAAGTGTGTAATACTGACAAGCTTAACTGGACCACAGAGAGCCAGAGTGTGTCATTGTCATGCCATGTCCCAGAGCCGCCAGTGCAGCTTTTGTGCAGGAGCATGTCTTGCATTTGACGTGGGGAACTAGGGCGGAATGTGGTTCTTGCCCACAGCGTTACTTTCCAGCCAGCTTCTCTGGAACACATGTGCCCCATGCCATGGACAGAACCGAACTCTTGATCTTGTCCTGCCCCTCAGCTCCTCCTCCAGCCTTCCCCATATCTTTGGGGTACAGGATACTCCCAACCGTCCACTTCCTCTTTCCGGAAACCTGGTGCTTCCCACTCCCTCCCCCCAAAACCCCTTGCTACCCTGTCCTTATTCTTACCCGAAGAAACTGTAGCTTCATCCACTCCCTTTCTACTGCCCTAATCCTGTGACCATTTTTATTTGTTTCACTTCAGCTTGCCTTAGAATGACAGGGGGAGCTTGTTAAAACTCCAATGACAGGACGCCCCTCCAGCCCCCCAGAGTTTCTGAATCAGTAGATCTGGAGATGGGGCCCCAGAATGTGGATTTCTAACAAGTTCTCAGTGATGCTGATACTGCTGGTTTGGGATCCACCCTTTCACGACCTTGGTCTAAGTGACTGTAGTAGCCTCCTAATGCCAGCAAACCTCCCTCCAATCCATTCTCTATACAGTAGTCCAAGAGATCTTTTCACAGTCTAGCTGGGTCTTGTAACTTCCTTGCCTAGAACCCTTCCTTGCCTAACCCATGAAAGGAGGGAGGGAGACTATGTGTGTCTTCTATCCCTGTGCCTTGTAGATGCTGCACAAAGCTCCCTTGAAGTTTATGCCATCAGACTGAAAACCTGCCTCCCTCCTGTTGCTGTCACTTGCCAGTGCCCTGGTCATTCCTCCTTGTCTCTTAAGGACTTGAGCATTGGCCTCACTGCCTTCATTTTCATGATCCACTCTTTGGAGAGTGATCCGTCTGACACCTTGGCCCCTCGGTTCCTTGACCTCCACGCCTCACGTGGTCTTGAGCCTCCTACTCTGGATGTCACGTGCTGGACCTTTTCATCGCCAGTGACCGTGTCGCCTCTTATTCTCACCTTCAAGCCCCTCACTTGCTGACCACCTTGTCCTCTTTCCAGTTTAGTGCCTCTGATGCTCCCACACTAGGAGTTATTTAATCTTATGAAGAGCAGTGATTCATTGGCCTTGTGAACAGGTCTCAGTCAATTTAGGAAGTTAATTTTGCCAAAATTAAGGACGCGCACCTGGACACAGCCTCAGGAGGTCCTGATGACATGTGCCCACGGTGGTCTGAGCACAGCTGGTTTTATACATTTTAGGGAGACTTCTAGAGAGGTGGCATTTTGGGGTGGGAAAGACCTAGGTTTGAATCCCAGCTCTGCCATATTAGTGGAACAACCTCTGAACCAATGTCCTCTTTGGTAATGTGGGACACTGATGGCTACTTTAGTCTTATAGTTAGGATCAAGTGAGAGCATTTATACAATTCAATAAACATTTTTCAAGTGTCTATCATGTGATAGTGAGATAGAAGACTAGCAGAACTTGTTTTCTGGCCACAGTCCTGCCAACCAAAACAGAATCTAGTCCAGAAAAGATAAAGTGAAGAACCTAGTCAAAACCAGCAGATGGGTAAAAAAGCAATTCTTAGCTGCCCTCATTGCTCATTAGCATAACACACTCCCAGAAGTGCCATGACAGTTTATAGATGCCATGGCAACAACCCAAAAGTTACCACCAAGGGTCATTCCCTGGCAATGACCCAAAAGTCACTATCCCTATTCTAGAAAGTTCTAAATAGCTCACCCTTCAATTTGCATTAACCCTCCCCTTAATTTGCAAATAATTGAAAGTGATTATAAGTGAGTATAAATTTAGTTGCTGAGAGCCCATAGTTTGCTGACTCTAGGCACACTACCTATGAGTTAACCCTGCTCTGCAAGAAGCAGCACTGTTCAGGAAAAGGTTATCTAACACCACTGACTTGCCCTTGAATTATTTCCTGGGCAAGGCCAAGAACCCTTCTGGGCTAAGCCCCAGTCTTGGGGCTCACCTATCCTGTGCCTTCTGGTGGCCACAAAGGGATGAAATAGTGAGTGAGAGGAAGTGACCAATGTGGTGTTGAGACTGCAGAAATGGCAGTGATCAGTGGCAAGATGGCAAGACAGTAGCAATGAACAAAGAGGCCAAGTGAAAAGAAAGACTTGAGAGAGGGAGAAATGGTGAGACAGCAAGATGACAAGACAGTGACCAGTCAGTTGGTGAGAGGTGGCAATCAGAGAGAGGTGGTGGTGCAGCAGTCAGTCAGGGCTGTGAGGATCAAAGCTGCAGACAGCTGGAACACTAACCAAAGGTTCTTTTCACAGCCATCATCTTTCCTGGCAGATGGTGGAGCTGAGTGGATGGACGAGCAGCCATAGCACAGGGATCCAAAGCTCTGACTGGGAAGCTGCAGGACCACATGTCAGTTTCCTCACAGCAGCCGAGCCTGCCCATGCCAGGGAAGCCTGGGGAGCATTCCTTCACCTGCACCCCCCATCAGAGACCAGGGGGCCCCATTTTGGCTCCTGTGGACAGGTAAGTATCCCTTTTACCTCACCCCCCAAATATCAGGTGAGCCAGGAAAATAAGGCCTTTGGCTTAGACAGTCATTTCAAAGTCCCCCATAGCACACCTGATCACATCCCAATTGCCCCTTTTCTAGGTCGTTTCTTTTCTAACACCATTTTATTTTTCTGTCAGCCATTTTATTTTATTTTCTACCCTGAAATATATATTTTCTTTGCAGTTTTTGCTTTGGCTCCCTGCTAACTGTATTTGGGCAGTTATTTAAGGCTGAACACTTGGTTATGAGAGGTCCCCTGTTGTGTTGACCCTGGGATGCCAGAGTAATGTTGTTCAGTGGCCCCAGCTTGGTCTATGGGGCTCACTGTTGATCGCCCTCTGGATGCTCTGGGATTTTCAGCATTAGGACTCACCATTAGGATGCCTTTTAGGCTATTGGAGCAAATTCAATTTTGGCTTAAAGAAAAAGAAACTCATGTCCTATTGCAACACCATTTGGGTCCAATACAAATTAGAAGGCCAAGAGATTTAGCCTAAACATATTTCTATAAATTATAATACTATTTTACAATTAACATTAAAAAGAAGGAAAATGGGGAGAGGTCCCTTATATACAGGCTTTCATGGCCCTTTACTGATTCAGTGTTACTTCAAGGCACCGGGGGATGGAGGGGATTTAAAAAAAGGCACTAGAAAGTCATGCCTGAGGGACCCCCTCCTAGCTGTTTCCCTTAGAAGGCCTAATCCCTCCCAGAGCCTCCTCAGTCTCCCAATTCTGAGGGGTCCTGCCAGTTCTCTAACACAGGATTCCACCCAAAGGTCATCAGGCACTCCTCCACCTATCCAACTAGCCCCAGCCTAAACCTTCTGCTGCTGGAGAAAGTAGTCCAACCAGTACCCCCAGAAATGTGGCTCCACATCAGCCCCTGAAGTCAAAGCTGTGTTCATTGTGGGAAGTAGCTGATGGAGATGGGGGGATACTTAGAATACACATGCCATTTTCTATGTCTGATTTGGCTTTTTGGAAGGAAAAATTCTGCCAATTTTCAAAGAATCCATGAAAGTTTGTAGAAGAGTTTGTTAAATTGACCATGTTCTTTGACTTGGTATGACTTGTAAGTATTGTGGTCCACTTGCTGTACCATAGAGAAAAAGCAGAGGAGAGTGTATGGTTAACCCTGTCAATTATGATAAGGTTAGAGATGTAATCCAGGGTAAAGATGAAAATCTCACTCTTTCTGGGTAGTTTGGTTGAGAAACTCAGGAAATATACTAATACAGACTCAGACTGCCCGGAAGGCAAGCTCTCCTGGGTATGCATTTTATTACTCAGTCTGCTCTGACATTAGGAGGAAGCTGCACAGAGCAACAGTGAGACCCCCAATCCCCTCTGAACCAACTCTTAAACATGGCCTTTAACGTTTATAACAGTAAAGACAAGGCAAAAATGGAAAAGACCAAAAGAAATAACCAAAAAGAACAATTACTGATGATGCTGTAAGCACCCTTCTGACTCAGGATTACCCAGCCTCAGGAAGTGTCTCAAGATTGGTGTCTGGGATGCCCAGACAAGAGCACCCAACTTACCAGCCCCTGGTAATCAGCAATGAGGAGGTCCTAATCATCCCTGGTGAGAGGAGAAAGCTCCCTGTCGATGTTAGGACTAACCTTCCAATAGCTCCAACAAGCTACCTTGCTCAATCAAGTAAGTTTACTGGAGGTCCCAGACCCTTGATCCAATGGACCGCTTCCCACAGTGGCAGACAAGCAGCCACCCAAACATTTTTCTTTGGTGTCTCTGCTGCTGGGTAACCTCTCTGGCAGCTCAGAGACTCTGAGGTCTCCCCTTTAGCAATGGATTTTGCCTCTTTCCTTCTTTATTTGATGCTACAAGAGCCCCTTCCTTGCCTCTTCCTGTCTTCTATACCAATTGCAGCAAACAATATTTGGCCAGGTAGACAGGTCCCAATTTTATAAATAACAAATCCAGCTGTCTCGTATAGGTCACTTCATTGTGTGATATGCTTGTATCTAGCATACTAATTGGCTTATAGACTGGGCACGGTGGCTCACACCTGTAATCCCAGCATTTTGGGAGACTGAGGTGGGTGGATGACCTGAGATCAGGAGTTCAAGACAAGCCTGGCCAACATAGTGAAACATCGTCTCTACTAAAAACACAGAAATTAGCTGGGCATGGTGGCACATGCCTGTAGTCCCAGCTACTCCAGAGACTGAGGCAGGAGACTCACTTGAACCTGGGAGGCAGAAGTTGCAGTGAGCCAAGATCGCACCACTGCACTCCAGCCTGGACAATAAGTGCAAAACTCCGTCTTGAAAACAAAAACAAAACAAAACAAATTGGCCTATAAATAAAAGAACACTCATAAATTAAACAAAAAGACTAGTCTAAACTTGTTAGTTTGAAGGGAATATTGTGTCCTATAAAACTTAACTTAAAGCTTTTTACCTAGATAAAATACTGATTTTCATAGGCTTTCGAATGGTTAAAATGGCTTTACATGTTGAACTTTTTGTGTAGTTTAAAATCTTAACATTGGCTGGGCGTGGTGGCTCACCCCTGTAAACCCAGCACTGTGGGAGGCCAATGCAGGTCGACTGCTTGAGCTCAGGAGTTTGAGACCAACCTGAGTAACATGATGAAATCCCATCTCTACTAAAAATACAAAATTAGCTAGGCGTGGTGGTGCCTGTAATCCCAGCTACTCAGGAGGCTGAGGCAGGAGAAACACTTGATCCCAGGAAGTGGAGGCTGCAGTGAGCTGAGATTGCACCCCTGCACTCCAGCCTGGGTGACAGTGAGACCTTGTCTCAAAATAGATAAATAATTTTAAAATTATAGAATGGTTCTCATCTATAGAATGTCAATATCTGATAGTTCAGCATTCTTTGCTTTCTAAGTTTATATAAAATGTGCCAGGGAAGATATGTATTCTTTTTTGTGAAAAAGAATAACTTTTGTTTAATTCAGAAATTATTAAAAGAAAGGTTCAAAATATAAAGAAATCTGTGAATAAAAAAGAGAGAGATGAGGTGAGTTATGGATAGAAGACATTTTTTTTTTTGAGACGGAGTTTCGCTCTTGTTACCCAGGCTGGAGTGCAATGGCGTGATCTCGGCTCACCGCAACCTCCGCCTCCTGGGTTCAAGCAATCCTCCTGCCTCAGCCTCCTGAGTAGCTGGGATTACAGGCACGCACCACCATGCCCAGCTAATGTTTTGTAGTTTTAGTAGAGACGAGGTTTCACCATGTTGACCAGGATGGTCTCGATCTCTTGACCTCGTGATCCACCCACCTCGGCCTCCCAAAGTGCTGGGATTACAAGCGTGAGCCACCGCGCCCGGCCTGGATAGAAGACATATTTTGTGGGGAGACTTTTTTTTTTTTTGAGACAAAGTTTTCCTCTTGTTGCCCAGGCTGGAGTGCAATGGCGTGATCTCGGCTCACTGCACCCTCCACCTCCTGGGTTCAAGCGTTTCTCCTGCCTCAGCCTCCCGAGTAGCTGGGATTACAGGCACCTGCCATTTGCTGCTGCCACCACCAGCAAATTTTTGTATTTTTTGTAGAGACGGGGTTTCTTTATGTTCGTCAGGCAGGTCTCGAACTCCCCACCTCAGGTGATCCGCCCGTCTTGGCCTCTCAGAGTGCTGGGATTACAGAGTCACTGTGCCCAGCCTGGTTTTTTTTTTTCTTTTTTGAGACAGAGTCTTGCTCTGTCACCTAGGCTGGAGTGCAGTGGTGTGATCTCAGCTCACCGCAACCTCTGCTTCCCAAGCTCAAGCAGTTCTCCTGCCTCAGCCTCCCAAGTAACTGAGATTACAGGCATGAGCCACCATGCCTGGCTAATTTTTGGTCTTTTTAGTAGAGAGGGGGCTTCACCATGTTGGCCAGGCTGGTCTTGAACTCCTGACCTCAGGTGATCTGCCCACCTCTGCCTCCCAAAGTGCTGGGATTACAGGCATGAGCCACTGCACCCAGCCACCCTTTCCATATTTAAATATGTTTAGATACACAAATAGTTATGATTGTGTTACAATTGCCCACAATATTCAGTACAGTAATATGCTATACAGGTTTGTGGCCTAGGAGGGATAGTCTAGAGTATTAGTTTAGGCATGTACCAGGCTATACAATCTAGATTTGTGTGAGAACATTACAGTGTTCACACAATGACGAAATCTCCTAATGATGCATATCTCAGAATACAACTCTGTCATTAGGTGACACGTGACTATATCATGGGTTTCCTTTATCTGTTAATCTTTTGTTCCCTTGTGGAAAGGCTGAAACAATCAAGGAAGTAGGATCACATGAAGATGTGAGGGATGTGAGGAAAGGGCTCCCAGGTAGAGAGGTGGTCAGTTCTGCGACTGTGGTTTCTAAATCTAATTTGTTACTAAAGGGAACCAGGACTTCCTTGAATAATCACTGATTCCAGAGCTGAGGCAAGAAATAGACATTTTGGGCCAGGCTTGGTGGCTCACATCTATAACAGAAACACTTCAGGAGGCTGAGATATGCTGATTGCTTGAAACCCAGAGTTTTGAGACTAGCCTGGGCAACGTGGCAAAACCCTGTCTCTACAAAAAAAAAAAAAAAAAAAAAAAAAATTAGCTGGGCATGGTGGTAAGTACCACCAAGTCCAGAGGCTGAGACAGGAGGATCACTTGTGCCCAGGAAGTCGAGGTTGCAATGAGCTGAGATCATGCCACTGCACTCCAGCCTAGTGACAGAGGGAGACTCTCTCTCTCAAAAAAAACAGAAAAGAAAAAAAGAAAAGAAAAAGGAGGCCAGGTGCAGTGGCTCACGCCTGTAATCCCAGCACTTTAAGAGGCCGAGGTAGGCTTATCATGAGGTCAAGCAATAGAGACCATCCTGGCCAGCATGGTGAAACCCTGTCTCCACTGAAAATAGAAAAATTGGTCTCTACTATAAACACAGAAATTAGCCGGGCATAGTGGCATGTGCCTGTAGTCCCAGCTACTTGGGA